CCCCTGGCCGGCCTGGTGAGCACTGATCACAAAGCCCCAGCCAAGAGACGACACGTCCGTGAACACATCGAGCAAGGGTTCAGTGCCTAGGTGCTAAGGCACTGAACCCCGAAAACCCTGAAGAGGAAGCTGGCGACACAGCAAATGACCCAAATCCCCTGCAGGCCGAACCCAACGGTCGCGAGAGAGGCAGAAGGGACGTCCCCAAAGGAACCAGAACAGCCGACGAAGCCACACCCGACCCAGCGGGTAGACCATCATGGCAATGTTCAGGCTCCCGCACAAACTCTCAAGCAACTGCCGCGTGACCCGGGAACCCCTCAGAAGAAGACGAATGCTGGACCGCAGGCAAAGCAGAGCCGCCGGAGGCAGAGACAAAGAAGTGGTGCGAGCGTCCCAAACCAGACCCAGCCAAGGCCGAACCCGAGAGGGAAACAGATGGGACTTCCTCCAGTTCACCAAGAACCCGAACTTGGCGAGCTGGGCAAGAACCAAATCCCTGGCAAACAGACACATGGACTGGCTGGGAGTCCAAACCAGCCAGTCGTCGATGTAGGCCAGATTCAACCCGAAGGGAGGACAACGAAAGCAGTAACCTTGATGCCCTACAACAAAACCGAGCCAATCCCTGAACCTCGGATGAACTGTAACGTGCAAACATGCGTTCTTGAGGTCCAGGGACACCATCCAAGCGCCCGGCTCCAACAGAAGACAGACCTGGGATAGAGTAGTCATCCAGAAGGAGGGGCAATGAACCCAGGGGTTCAGACAGGACAGGTCCAAAATGAACCTCAGGTCCGCACAGTCTAGTCTCGGGACCGGAAACAGGTGGGAAACCCACCTGAGGGCGTCGTCGTTCTGACCACACCCCAGGCGAACCCACTCCGAGATGACCCGACAGCGCAGAAGTGGCCTGCCCCGCCAGCGCAGGAGAAGTGGCCTGCCCCGCCAGCTCCGAACCCCAAGGGAGGAGGAGCCTTCCAACACCACCACAGACTGCACGGAACGACCCAAAAAGTCCACGAATTGTGGGACCAGGCACGAGCAAACAGGGCGAGCCGTCCCCCATTGCCCCGTCAATGGGACGAACCACGAAAAGGCCAACGTGTATTGCAAGAACCTAAGCAGCGAACAGTGCGATCCCTGCACCGACCAGAAACAGTTGGAACGGTAGGCTGCGCTTGCCCCAAATCTGGCACCAATGGCCTAGCACGACGGTAAGAACCCCCGAGCCCTGGCACAACCTTTCCGGGAAGGCCCCCACGAGCCCCCCGGAGCAAAAACAACTAACTGAGGCCGCCTGCAGGTATTGCACCACAGCCAGGGCCCAAGCGGATTCTAAGGAGGAAGCCAGCACCACCTGCCAACACGGGAGGCGAGAAGCATAGAACCATGAAACTGCATCACGTCAGGGTGGCGCCAAGAGCTTCAACAAAGCAGACGATGCTCGCACCGTGGAGGGCAGCACAACAGACCTGGCAGCGGCCCCAAGCGCCCCCACATCCAACTCAAGCCAGTCCGATGACAGCTCAAGGAGGGAAAAATGCAGGGCTGAAGCAAGCAAGCTACGAGTACGCAAATCCTCCGCCACCAAGGCAGCCGAAAGAGAAGGAACCTGCACATGAAGCTGCAGCTGCATGACACCAGCATTCCGCGGAAGGGCAGGGGCAAACAAACAAGCATCGAGATGATCGAAGGCGCCCCCTAGGAAAACCTGAAACACCGAACGAGTCTCTCGCCACTCAAGGGCGCGGGACCGACGGAACCTGTGCCAAGCCTCCAATGAAAAAAAAAGGACAGTCTGCCAACCAGGACGACTCCGGAACATCATAATGAACCCAGTACGAACCAGAAGAGCCGTACATGAAGGAAAGCAGATCCATCATGAAGGCATAATCCGGGTCGCGCAGGAAGTAAGTCGCCAAGGGTTCCCGCACCTCAGAAGATGAGACTCGGGAAGGCGGAAACCTACGGAAAGACGGAACCGAAGAACCCACTGGATCACTGAACCGAACCCGGGGAGGGGTGGACACCAAATCTAATTCGTACGCAGAGGGAGCGAAAGAGAACCCCCTTTCCTTGTAACACCAAGCTTCGCTCGGAGGGCAGAAAAACCCAGGAGGGGTCCAACAGGTCCCAAGGCCCCCAAGCCAATCCCTCCCCAACCCCAAGAACCTCACCCTGAGGACCCGGAGCCGAGCCGGCCTCCAAACCCCCCACCTCCAAAGAAAAGGTGGGAACTGCCGAGAAAGCAGGAACGAAGGGGGCCCACTGGCCCAACCCAGAAGATTCAACAGAAGGACCAGGCTTGAATGCCTCCGCTGCATCTCCAGAAGTTAACACCAGAGACCGCCCGAATCTCAACACTAACACACCAACTAGACCCTGCCCCGACTCCAAAACCCTCAGACGCTTCGGAGCCGGAAACAAAGGAAGGAGGGGGGGGGGGCGAAAAACTACAGAAAGGGAAGGACTAGGAGGGGCGGACGGAATCAGAGCCAAGGCGACTCCCACCTCCAAGTCTGAGTCCCTATAACCAAAACGGGGCAGTCTCGGGGCATCCGGGGCTGCAACCAACCGAGCGCGTTGCAGCAACCTAAATCTAGCATGCAACCCCGTCGCTGCCTGCACTCGCATATCAGTATCAGAGGCTTGAGTGAACTGGAGTACATACAAACAACACATGTCGCACAACTCCGGGTCAAAAAAATCACTGACCCAACAGGCAGCATGGTGGAGGCAAAACCGGTGTCACCCTGAGACAAGGGGAACAGAGCAACCTTCAAACTCGCAAGACGCGAGGGGGAAATCAGGGGTCACATCCATTGTACCACGTAGCCCCGAGGGGTTTCCCAGGGTCCTTATCCTTGGAGACACGCTAAGGGAAGCCCAGGCAGGGTACTGCGAACTGGCGCCCAAGTCTACCAAACAAACTTCTAAAGCTGAACCCCCAGGAAGTGTTCACTCATGGGGGGCCAAGCGGGAAAGACTACCAACAGAGATATATATATATACACCCCAAGAACAGCGACTAAGGAACCACACCGGCAGAACCCCCCCCCCCCTCCCACCAGGCAGAAAAACAACAAAAGAAAAAACCCGCACCCGAGGACAACGTACTCGGGAGGAACAGAGCCGGCCACTGTTATAGGTGAAAACTAGCTGTGCAGTACCTCGTGCCCCTGCCAGTGACGAAAACTACCCCCTACCAAGAGACAAACAAGGGTAAGAAAAACCCCAGCTGACTCCATGGGTGGATACCGAGAAGTAATCGGCACAGCGGAGGTAGACCCCTGAAGTGACTTGTGGAAGGAGGGCCCCAAGCCCTAAGAGCAGTACTTACAGGGCACCTAGGGAAGGTGACCCCAGGCGCATGCAGCCCGAGTATCAGGCGCCACAGCTGGGTGGACAGCGCTTCAGATTCGTAGTCCTGAGGTTCCAAGTTCAATCCCCGGTGGAGGCGGAGACAAATGGGGAAAAGTTTCTTTCACCCTGATGCCCCTGTTACCTAGCAGCCCCTGCTATGGGCTGCTTCCCAGGGGGAGGGGGGGGGGTAACAAAAAGGTGGCCTGGTCGAGGACCAGGCCGCGGGGACGCTAAGTATTGAAATCACTTGAAGATAACTTAAGATAACCGTGGAATCTCACTCCCAGCTCACGCACCACCTGAAGAGACAGCCCACACCACAAGGCACAGAACTGTAACAGAAAACTAGAACCAGAGGCACGACCACACAAGACTCCCCATCAGCCTAAGAACTGTAGGTTGGGTCACCAGCGGATGGGTTTTGGGCTCCCCCCTTCCCCTTCCTGGGGAGGGAGGGTTGCGCAGACAGTGGCGCAGCGACATGATGACGTCATGCTAGTTTGCTAATTTTCGTTTGGGAAAGTTCTGTCCACCTGTTCGGCTTTCGGTCGAAATAGGGGTTTGTTTTGGAGCGCTTACCTTTCTGGGTGCCTGTCCCAGTTGATGGCAGACATAGAATGCTCCCAACTACAAAGGAGGGGGGGGGGTCTATAGGCCATTGCTCCTTATGCCTCTCTAGAGGGGAGGCCAGGTTCTGGCTCGTGGTCCCCAGTAGGCAAGAACTCCATGCATTGACTGATGCCAGACAGATATACATATCCATTCAGCCTGGATAGCTCCGGGGAGCCGACGGGGCTCCCCCGAGAAAAGACGCATTACATTCAGTTACGAATATCTGACCACATCACAAAGCATATAAAATTTTATTGTAAATACTTAAGAAACAATTACACAAAACTGACAAAATACACCCAAGAAACAAATTAAACATCTTTTTGCTGAGGGCAATCACAGATGGTATCTCAATCCGCTTTTCCAGAGTGGCTGAACCTAGCCAGGAATGTGGAGGGAGGGAGGAGAAGATTCAAAAGTTTTGTATTAAAACCAATTCCAGTAATTCCGAACCGACATTCTCAAGTCACAGAATAAGGACATATTATTCTACAATATAAAATGTGCATATAGTATTTGCAAATGCACATCATGCCCAATTGTGGCCCAGTCCATTAGATTTTTTTTATAAATTTCTGTGTAAACTTTAAGGCAACCTAGCAACTTGCTGTTTCACAGTGCAATATCAAAATTGTGTAAATCTTTGGGTACAATATTTCTATTATTCTGTGTAGAAAATTAAATATCATAAGAGTTTATACAAATTATCCAACAAGGTCCTTACAAACGTGTGAACTTCACTTTGACACAAGGTGCCTTGGAATTAAGCTGTCCTTAAAATACAAGTTCTACTGTATTCTGTAGAGGTAAAATTAAGTTTTATGTAAAATATGGACGTGGAAAAACCTCAAAGAAAAACACACATTAATGGCCAAAGGCAGACAACTTGTCGACCTCGAGAAAGCTCATGAACAAGAGAGTGAAGTGCAATCCTGGAGGCTCTGTCTTTTACCTAAACATGGGAAAATTAGTCAATGATTAAATTTCTGATTAAATTCAATACACAGTTATATAATATTTACCCAGCAAGTTTTGTAGTTCATCTCCATCCAGTGAGACATTTCCAGTTTCATTGTTAACGATGATGATCACCGTTTTCCCAGAATTGGAGTTTCCCGGAGCCGAAACATCTGAACAGTCTTTAACAAATGAACTTGACATCTGTAAATAAACATAACATTTTTCTCAGCAAAAGTCAATAACTTGACAGAAGTTTGCATTTACTATTTTACTCGCAGAACAAATATTTAAATACTTATAGTACTATATAATACTGTACTATAGTTACAAAATTTTGAATACAAGATTGTAGCAATGGGTAAAGTATTACTATAGAGTAACTGCGTATAAGCCAAACAACATTTAAATTGTTTAGTCTGAATGCGAAAACCCATATAGAAGTCATGACTAATAGAGACCTCACATCAAAAAATCTACGTATAAATGCTTTTAAAGATGATAAATAGGATACAGGGATTCATATCCAGAAACGTTAGTAACAAGGCATCTAATGAGAAAATCCATAGGAGCCATGATGAAGATAGGATTTGAATCTATGCATTGGGTACCCCGAGGCACATGCTCCAGACAACTAGGCCATGACATGGTTAAAAGCATTGCAACCCGGTGTTTTACTGTACCCCCGAGGGTTTCCAAGGCGTCCACTGAAGCCGAACCAGAGCTTCACCCAATTCCCCCAAGCACTCTGCCTCTGTCATCTAGGCAGAGTGCATCTTCTACCTTTAACACCCCTCTTTCAATACACAATCCCACTAACATGAGGTATCAGTGAGAAAATCCGTAGCAGCCATGATGAAGATTAGAACCTATGCCCTCTGACCATGTCGTAGCCTAGTTGTCTGGGCGTGTGCCTGGAAATACCCAGCGCATAGGTTCAAATTCTCCTAACGGCTCCTACGGACTTTCTCATTGATACATCACGTTAGTGTGATTTCTCTGTGTAAGGCATCTAATGCTATCCTTCAGCTTTATCTTGCCATTGTTATAGGCCCCATTTGAGTTATGCAGTTCAGCTTTGGTCACTACTATGGAATGGATATACATTTACTGAAATGTGTGCAGAAAAAGGATAAAATTAATGCCTGGAATTAGAAACCTCCTAAAAAGGGATTAACACTTACACTCCCGGCATGCGTGCCGCAAACTTAGAGTCATGCCCCCGGCGTGCGCGCGAGCATGCGGCGATACCAAAATGTGTATACTCGTTTCAGTTTTCTCACCTTAATTCTCGTGCTACGTCGTTCATTTTGGTATCATTGTGTTCGCAATTAGATACCCTGCAGATGTATATGCATATAATGTCCAAAAGCCCGGCATGACTACCCATAGCAAAGCCTAAAACTACCCATGAACGAGCACCAATTTACACACAGCGGCCTAATGTGTATACTCGTTCAGTTTGATAACATCAATTTTTGTCTTGTGTCTTTCATTTTGGTATCAAATTGTTCGCAATATAAAAGTGCATATTTTAAAACTAGTCCCATAATAGAGCAATAACTGAAATTTTACCAAATATTTAAAGTTTGGACGCTCATCATCACTTTTTTTTTTATATCTTTCCAGTGTTCTGACAAATTTTCATGTTACGTCTTTCATTTTGGTATCAAATTGTTTGCAATCAAAAGGTGTGCATTTTAAAACTAGTACCATAATAATAGTACAATAAATAGAATTTTAACAAATATTTTCAAATTTTGCCCAAAACGTATTTATAATCTTTTGAGTGTTCTGACAACAAGTTTCATGTTACATCTTTCATTTTGGTATCAAATTGTGCGCAATTTAATGATGCTCATTTTGAAACTATCCCAAAGTCAATCGGATAAAAATTTAATTTTATACAAACATTTTATTGTTGGATGCAAATGATGTCACGAGAGAGGACTCTGCAGAAAAATTGGCGACGCATTAAGTGTCACGAGAGTGCGAAACTGTTAAGAAAGCTTATTTTAGAGTATACACTTGATTTAATGACATATGGAGCTCTACCCAGGTTGTTAAATTTAAAATGTTAGTACTGTAACTTTTTAGTCATATTTCAGAGGGCAACAGGATGGTTGTTTGGGGTGGGCATGTGAGCAGGCAGATAGGTGGGTGGTAAGGTAGACGGGCAGATGGGTGATGGGCAGATGGGTGGGTGGTAAGGTAGACGGGCAGATGGGTGGGTGGTAAGGTAGACGGGCAGATGGGTGGGTGGTAAGGTAGACGGGCAGATGGGTGGGTGGTAAGGTAGACGGGCAGATGGGTGGGTGGTAAGGTAGACGGGCAGATGGGTGGGTGGTAAGGTAGACGGGCAGATGGGTGGGTGGTAAGGTAGACGGGCAGATGGGTGGGTGGTAAGGTAGACGGGCAGATGGGTGGGTGGTAAGGTACACGGGCAGATGGGTGGGTGGTAAGGTAGACGGGCAGATGGGTGGGTGGGCAGGAAGGCAGGTAGCAGGGCTGTCAGGTAGCAGAGTGGACAGGCAAGAGTGAGTGAGTAGCAGGGTGGACATAGTAGGCAGACAGGCATTCAGGTGTGCAGGCAGCAGAATCAGCGGGTGGCAGCGTGGGCGGGCTAGCTGTTGGGTGGACAGTAGAGCAAGGAGGTGGGTGGGCAGGCAGCAGAACCCCACCACCATCAGCCCTGATACATCCATCCCCAACCCCACCAGCCCTGATACATCCTTCCCCAACCCCACCACCACCAGCCCTGATACATCCTTCCCCAACCCCACCACCACCAGCCCTGATACATCCTTCCCCCAACCCCACCACCACCAGCCCTGATACATCCTTCCCCCAACCCCACCACCACCAGCCCTGATACATCCTTCCCCCAACCCCACCACCACCAGCCCTGATACATCCTTCCCCCAACCCCACCAGCCCTGATACATCCTTCCCCAACCCCACCCACCACCAGCCCTGATACATCCTTCCCCCAACCCCACCACCACCAGCCCTGATACATCCTTCCCCAACCCCACCACCACCAGCCCTGATACATCCTTCCCCAACCCCACCACCCCCAGCCCTGATACATCCTTCCCCCAACCCCACCCACCACCAGCCCTGATACATCCTTCCCCAACCCCACCACCACCAGCCCTGATACATCCTTCCCCCAACCCCACCACCACCAGCCCTGATACATCCTTTCCCCAACCCCACCCACCACCAGCCCTGATACATCCTTCCCCCAACCCCACCACCCCCAGCCCTGATACATCCTTCCCCCAACCCCACCACCACCAGCCCTGATACATCCTTCCCCAACCCCACCACCCCCAGCCCTGATACATCCTTCCCCCAACCCCACCACCCCCAGCCCTGATACATCCATCCCCCAACCCCACACCACACACTCCCAGGTATATCCTTCCCACCAATCCCCTACCCCTCTAACCGCATCTAAATGGTCCGTCTGAACGGTATTATTATGGCACGATTATTATTCTCGGCTACCATCCTGCTAGCTGGTGGCCTAAGAGGCAGACTGCCTAAGTGCCTGACATCAGACTCATATTGTTTACTGGGAATGACTGACTGATCGTAAATGTCTGTAAATGCCCAAGTTGTTGTGAATGTAAGTGCCTGACTAATTGCTACCACATCTGTGAATGCATGACTGCCTTTGACTGGCTATGACTGACTGACTTCTTGTGACTGTGAATGCCTGACTTGACTGTGGCTGCCTCTGGTTGTTTGTGACCGTGACTGGCTCTGACTGGATGCTACATAACAGCGGCAGTGAAATCTATGAAGGAAAAAAGGCATATATCGCTGGCCTAGCGAGGGCAAGGTTGTTTCAGCAAATCCAATAGTGCCCTCCAATTTAGCGAGATTTTGTAAACTTAAAGGGCCATGGTACCAGGATATAAAAAATTGTTGTAGGGTATTCATAATTTATTATCCTGATACATGTGAAAGGTGCTGCACCTAGGCCAAGTTTCAGCATCTCAGCCTAAATAGAAACGGAGGAAAAAAAAAAAAAAATTGAATTTTTCAACCATGTTCAATTGATTTCACAGCCCACAATTGTGAACCAAAATCATTTCTACGACACTCACCTATGACGTTACTATATAATAAAGATTTTTATGTCACATCTTTATCCCAGATGTATTTAGTGCAATAATACAGATTTTTTAAAGTTTCCCAAAAACGTATGCAACAAAATGAAGTGTATCATTATTTATAAAATCAATAAATCTACGTAGATAAGAATAATGACGTAATTTTTTATAGGCGTAAACTCTACATATAATGTGCAAGTTTCATGTAAATTGAATAATAAATAAAGGCTGTGAAACGAGATCTAGTTGTAAAAGTTGGAGTTGCGTAGCGCACGCGACAAGTTACTCTACTCGCGGTCATGCGTGATTTACGCATTGCGGCCAGCTAGTACCTTCTATGGAGAGCTCGCATGCATCTAGCTTTCAATGCTTGTCTCTTGTTCGTTTGGTAAGTCATATTGCAGTACAAATAACAATAATAGCATGAGTTCTGGGAGATAGTGTGAGAGCGCATCAGCGATACAACCACCCCCCACGAGACACACAGTCACTGATGGGGCTGAGCCACATAGCACCCTCTCTGTCACACGATACTGTTGCCATTGAGTGAGTTTATATTCATTTTATGCATAACATGTTATTTTCAACGCTATTACGAAAAATAAGAATTCTACAACGTAAGATACAATACCCCGCGGCGCACTCACGGCGCGAGGACCAGATTCACGAAAGTTGCAGCGGGAAATTTGACTACGTTAATTTTCAAGATATCATTAAACGGTTTGGACCAGTGTTGCCAGAACGTTGTAGTATTTTTCGCAATTTTTCGTAAATATTCCATTTTTCATCGGATTTTTGGTTACCATGACACCTTAAAACTTGTTCGGATGTTGTACCAACGTCGTAGTTTCGGTGTGTGTTTGGCGGGAAAAGACCTGGGTAAATACTGCATATTAGTGGCTTTATATTTTATACATTGTGTACTGTACCTACAAATACTCCACTTTATGGTGTCTATCTCAAGGTTATCTTGAGATGATTTCAGGGCTTTAGTGTCCCCGCGGCCTGGTCCTTGACCAGGCCTTCACCCCCAGGAAGCAGACCGTGACAGCTGACTAACTCCCAGGTACCTATTTACTG